AAAAAGATCATGAATATTCTGGCCAGACGCCCATATCGAGCAATCAGATTCGATTTTGTGTCATGAAGACAGTGGAAAGTAAAAATAAATTTACAATATATGAGAGAAAGTGTATTTATACTGGACAATGGGAATTGTAAGTATCAAATTTAATTTTCATCAGATTTTCATACTTTTTAAAATTATCATAAATATGAAAGGTTGGCGTAAATTTGATACGAATTCTCATTTAGCATAATACCGTTGGTATTTGTGATTCAAAGAGAGTGTGAATCAAGTTTCATACAAATTTTTATATAATTCAATCTTCATTTGAGTAATCGTGTATACTGACGCACGGGCGATTCGTTCAGTCATTCCAAGAAGTCTGATTGTATTTATGTCCAAACCTGTCTCGATTATTTTGTGTCACTTAAAACTCGTTGGAAGATGGCTGTCACACTGATACAAAAAAATGAACGAGCAAAAGTGTAAGCATTTCACATTCCCTCTGAAGACAGAAACTTGCCCAATACTGAAACTAGACGACATAATGGTCCCTCCAGCAAGCGAAGTGAAATACCTCGGCATCCATCTGAGATAGGCGACTTACCTGGAAGAGTCATATTCCTGCGAAAATACAGCACCTCAAACTTGAAACCGCCAGCCTAAATTGGTTACTGCGTAAAAATTCAGAATTATGCTTGGATCATAAAATCCTTCTCAATATATTAGTCATAAAGTCAATATGGATGTACGGAATACAATTATGGGGTTCTGCCTGCTTAACTAGTATCCATAAAATACAGCGATTCCAATCAAAAACGCTACGATACCTTACAGGAGCACCTTGGTATATGCGCAACGAAAAAATACATAGAGACCTTGAAATGCCAATGGTAGATACAGAAGTGAGAGTAACCTGGCAAAATCATTCGAATCCTCTAGCAAACGTTTTATCCTTACCCAGCAAGTCAAACTCGCCTTCCCAGTTATTAATATTCTAAAACTTCTTGTTAGACTTAAATTAAGTAGATTCAATAAATAAATCTTTGATGTGGAAAAAAACAAAAAAAAAAGATATTTATAACCGTTAGGTGAATAAAAAATTAAATAAAAAAAATCTTATACGCTGTATGCAATTTATGTAATCAACACCTTATCACAATTAACATTTAAATTTTACACAAACGACATCAAGCACGCAAAGCACTTAAAAATATAATAGCACAATGCAAATAAAAATAATCTGAGAATAGTGTTTGCAATTAAATAGAGATTTTATACGCACACGCAGGATTTCTAGCTTAATTGAGCAAAAAAAAAAAAACAAAAACAAAACAAAATATATATACCAAATTTTTTTGTATTAAAAGTAAAATAAATGAACTAAATGTGTTCTTAAAGGGCACTAACTTGAATTTACATATACATATATAGGGCTACCAACTGTCACAAAGTTAAAGAATTCTCTGATCTTGGAATGACGTTTGCATTTAATTTTTACATTATGATAAGAACTTTAGAGATCCTTATACTAAAAAAAAAATTTTTCAACCCTTAAGTTCGTTGAAAGCTAGAATATAGCTCCATAATTTGGAATCCAGCATACTCAACACATACGAATAGAGTGGAAAGGCTTTGTGCTTCTACCACTTTGCTGACCCATTACCTTTTTACAGTGATCGCTGTCGGCTTATATCCATGACGTCTGCTAACCATAGACGCGCTTTTCAGTCTATAATCTTCATATTCGACCTAATATCTGGTTCTATTGATTGCCCTGAGCTTCTTGAACAGATTACTTTGAGTGCTCCACGTAAAACGCTACGAACTAGCCATCCTTCAATGTCAAATTATTACAAAATTTCCCCAATCGATCGTGCTTTGACTGAGTTGAATGTAATCTGTAAAACTGTTGATCTAGATTTTGCCATGCCAAGAGATTTTTTTCTCAGCAAATTACATTCCTATTATTCTTAGTTTTTCCCTTTTTTAAGACCTCTATATTAGCTATATTTGAAGTTTCTAGTTCTTAAGGTTAATGTCATCATAGATTTAATTTTATAAAAAATAAAAATGAAATGAAAATGGTAATGCAAACATTGTCAAGCTTCGTGCTTTAGGAGTTGATTATGCTGCACGTAATCTTCCAACTACTCAAGCAATTGGTAACATTTTAATACGAACTGCGATTGGACCTCACTTCTTTGAAAACGACAACGGTGCGACCGTCACTGTCACTGTTACTGAGCGTCATGGTCATATGATAATCGACTTTATTTGGCCTGAAATTGAAGTACACGACTTGGCCTATCTGTGTTTTCAACAAGATAGTGTGGCATGCCCCACAACAGCTTCAAATATGGTTTTATTGGGAGAGAAATTTCACAGCCGCTTATTCTCTCGCCTTGGCGATGTCAATCGGTCAATTTGACAGCGTTGAATATTTTTTTTTTGTGGAGCTACGCGAAAGACTCTGGTTACGCGAATAAACCTAGAGCGCTTGATTACTTGAAAATGACTTGCGTTAAGTTAAGACTGAGATTCCGCCCGATAAGTGCCAAACAGTAGTCGAAAATTATCTCAAACGGATCGAAGTTTGGAAAAATTTCGCCAATGATGTAATGCTTCACATAATTTGCCGTGGTTGAAGTTTTATATCAAAAAAGGATTTTCATGAAATAAATTATTTTAAATGAAATTATTTCCGAAATGGCAAATACACAACCCTGTATATTTTATGTGCGGTAAAAGTTACGTAGAAATTGTCATTAAAAAGTTAAACAACACCCATGATTATTCGTGAACTTTTCACGTGTGCGTGAAAAAAGTTTGGCAAATGATTTTTAATAGGTTACAAAAATTTTTCGAATCTCAGTGCGGCGAAGCATCGATTGCAAGAAGTTGCAGAAGACCGACCGACTCTTTATGTTATGCACATACATACATATTTGTTTATGTGAGTGTATTTATAATGTTCAGTATTCATAAATTTTGCAAAACTGTCAGTCGCAAAAGTGAAATGCAAGCAAATTGCTTCATAAAATTTGTACTCGAGTGTGATAAAATGTACCGAGTCCAGGCAAAAGACTAGCAAATGCAACTGACATTGTGGGGGCAGCGAATGCAATATGGTAATGAAATACATAAATATTGCATGTAACTGAATACACGTGCTTGACTAGTTTCAGATAAATGCGTTTATTTTTTCAAAAGAATATTTGAAAATATGTAAATGATTTGATTTTCGCCCTTAAATAACTGATTCTTTTTTATTGAAAGTTTTCTAAAAGCGAATATTGCCGCCACCTCAACTGCGCGTCTGAATTTTTATTTTGTTTTTTGTTTTTCTTTATAATTACATAAATTTGTAAAGCAATTTGCTTGTCAACGTCGCACAGTGGAGCCGTATCATTTATGCGGCGACCAAAAATAGTCAGCGTAAGCCGATTTTGCAATAATTTTGTATAAGTCATTCAATTATTGCAGAAAGAAGAAATATGAAATATTATAAAAACGCCCCATTCGCTAATAGAAAATTTATGGTTTTGCGTTTTGATATTTTTCCAACGATTAGAGGGACCCATAATTTATACCAAGCCATCTCCGAACGGCTCTGAATGGTTTTTAAGAGAAGCCTTTGCATCTTGTCAGAAATACACTCGAAGGCTTTGACATTCCCTGCCGAGGCGCGTCCGCAGTTAGAAAATTTAACTTAGTTTTTTATTTAGATTAAATTTCTGTAACTTTGGGATATTGGTCGCACGAACATTTGAGCCCGGGTTCACCACATGGCATCCGCGACCGCCATTTTCATTACTGGCATAATTTTTACTTGTCAAATGTTAACAAAAATAAAATACAGCTTCAAAATTGACATCTACTAGAATAGCGAGCTATTCAAAATCTAACCTTTATTCGGGAAAACCCTTTATAACAATTTAAATTAAATAATGAGTTATTAAATAAAAGTCCCAAGATTTGTTCTATAGTTTCTTATTTTGAAGGAACTTAACCATTGTTTATTTATTACTCGCTTCACTTTACACCTCAACTGAATTTCCTGAAGTGTGCGCTTTGCTTTCGTATACCTACAGTATGCACGCTTATATCTGCTCGTAGATTATCTTTGAATGTTCTCGACAACGTGCATTCGATATTAGCGCTCTTTATTTGGAACACTTCACACTCATATGTGGCATTTTCTCCAAAATATGTTTTTTTTTACGCATAAATTAATATATAAAAGTTGCTTTAAATTGCGGAAAAAATTAAAAAAGAATTATAGTATAAGCACAAAATTGTCGATAATAGTATTCTGTATTTGATGACCAAACTCAATTTTTATTTTTAATTTTGTAATATTCTTCTATCGAGCATTCACTTTCTTTCCGCAAAAGAGGTTTTTTTTTTAAAATGTCCACCATTTATTTTGGACATTTTTGGCCGCAGTAGTCACTGTGTACCTGACTGCAATTTATAAGCAGATTAAGTTAACTTCCATCAACTCGTTCAGTCCGTTAGTAAATATGTATATGCACCTATATATATATTCATTTGTCGTATTTTATTTATTTTCTGCTGACAACTACATTGCGTTTATTTACGATTAAATGTCAGATAATATTTGATTTATACGCACTTGCTGTAGTTATTTCAATTAATGCATATTTGCTCTTTGCTTTTTTATTAACTAGTTTATGTATGATAAAGCTACACTGTAGTTGGTTTTGTTGGCTTTCTTAATTCGTTATTATATGTCTAAAAAAGTTCTAAAAATTAAATGACTTTAACCCTGTGAACTTTATTAAAAACTTACGCTTGAATAAAAGGTTAAAAAGCTTTACTAGCACTTCTGGCTATAAATGAAAAAAAAAATAGATATTGTGTGTCTAAAACCCTCTCAATAAGGAATACACTAAATTATATTTAATATATATGATATATAGCTATATAAATATTATAATAAATATTGTTGAAATCAAGTTTGAATTTTTCACATTTAAACTACCACTCACCAGAATGACTCGCTTCGCGTATAAGATCGTGTATGATTTCGTCTCGCACATTTATGCCAAGATTTTTTAACATAAATTGCAGTTCATTCGCTGTGACGCGACCATCACGATTTCTATCTAAGAGATCGAATGCAGTTCGCAAATCTGTAAGGAGAGAGAGAGAGGGAAATTTTTGTTGATTGTTTTAGTATTGAATAAAATGATATATTATAAATTATTTACAAATGAGATTTTTACCCAGTCAAATGTCTCAGGTTTTTTGACAATTTATTGTTTTACCATATAATATAGTTTTTCGAAAGTAAAAACTCTTTAATTGATTCACTAAAAAAAAGAAATAATGAAAATGGTCGTCATGAAACACCTTCTTGACCGCAATATATAAATCGGTAGAAAAAATGGAGCTATTGGGACACGTTAGTTTTGTGAAGAATAAAACATGCGCACGTAGCTCAAGATCAACCGAATATTACTGCTGTGTCCGAAAGTGCTCGAAAAAAAAACAGGTTTGTACATTCTTCATCGTTCTTTCGAATTTAACATTCCACAAACGTCATTTAAGTAAAAATTTCAGTCTTAAGTCTTATAAAGTTCAATTAACATGAGAGCTCAAGCCGGCCGATCATCAACAATGTCGTGAATTTGATGATCTCGAATTTTATTCAAAAATCATCTTGAATCCCAGTTCCATTATATCGATGGCTACGCTAATATATGAAAGCCCGAGATTTATTGTTAAAAATTCTGACTATCCTCAACGTGAAACTGTTTGATGTGGTTTAGGGTCCGGCGGGGCCATATAACCTTGCACTTTTCAATGTGAGGCCGAAGAAATAATGAATGGATTGCTCTTCTGAGAGATGACTTTTGATATTTTATAGCCTGAGTTGGATGGTATTGATTTGTACGACGTCTACTTTCAGCAAGATGGCGCGAAGTGCTACACAAACAACGAAATCATTAATTTATCTCTCGATGAGTTGATCGAAATTGGTCACCGGGATGTTGTGGATTAATGCCTTGTGACCTCGTTCTTTGAAGCCACGTGAAAGATAAGGCTTACGCCAACAGTCCTACATCGATTCAAGACAAAATCGAATTCGTGAAGCTATTGAGCGCATTTGGCTGATGGTAATTTCTATTATTAATGACATATCTTTCTCTTCACATTGAAATAAACATCCCATCATTTATTTGAATAAATGCCATTTTTCTTTGAATATCAAAATAACACGTCTAATTGGAAAACCCATATCGTAATTAACTTAAGGCAATCATTCCTAACTGATGTTCTTGTCACGGTTTTTTGATAGAAATTCAGAAATTTTAGAATGAAATTCGCTGTTGGCGTAAGACAAGCGATAAGTTGATACACTTATGGGCGCTTCTGATAGTAATTCGACGATTCTCCATAACAACTCATTTACATGTGTGCGACAGTGCGTATGAGTGACAATTTCTCAGACGAAGTGCACCACTAAATTTCAAAGAAACATTTACTCATTATATTGCATTAAAAATAATTAAGTTGTCTTATTAAAATGCAGAGAATGATCTAAAATATTACTTTTTAAGTTTCATCTGTCAATGCAAGTTTTTCCATATAATATACTCGTATATATATTTATATTATTGTCTTAATCCAAAAACTATATGCCAGCGCCATTTAGACATATATTTTTCACAACCAACGAAATATGAAGCTTAGAAGAATTTTGGTAAAATTTGAATAGTTAAATCAAAATGCCAACATTTGTATGAATAATATTTGCACAGTTTAAGTTATGCCTACACAAACATGTACACGTATGTATGTAGCGCGTGTAAAAAGTAAACAAAGTTTTGCCTGTTTTTGCCCGCACGCCAGTGAGTTTTGGCTACGTTGCTTTAGCGCTGCTAATTGCATGCAAATTGTGTCGTTCTTTTTTATATTTATTTATGCTAAATATGTTTTTATATGCCAGTCGCGCCGACATTTCCAATTCTAATACTTCATTTTCCCCCTTACAGACATATATAATATTAGAATATATTTTCACATTTACAGCTGCAATGTTGTAAGTTGCCGCCGAATGTGATACACATTTTTGGTCTACTGCGCAAAACTTTGGCCATTTTCGACATTTTCGTATTAACTATTCGCATCAACATTTTATTTTTCTGCTACGCATTTCTCTAATTTTATTTATTTCTTAATCGTTCTTGCTACAACTACTCAGGACGAATGTAATGCATAAAAAAGAAGAAAGCTGGTGGGAAGAGGAGATAAAAAGTATAGAACGTTGCTTGGTGAAGGAAAACACTTGAATTGAGCCGATTAAAGGCCAAGGACGTATAATGAACTGCGTGTGCAAACACAAAGTGGCTCATGGTTGTAGGTTTCCCTATAACACATTGAGTTTGATGGGAAATGGAGGAGTAATTTGTAGCTGCCAACCTTTTGCGTTATCATTTTTTGTTTACCAACGCATTCCGAAAAACTACTAACTTTATTTTCTTGCTTTACTCTCACTCATACCATTATGGTGGCTTAATAGCCAGAAGTCACTCTCCCATTACCTCTACAATTCACTTAGTTCCACTAATAACCGAGCGACAATCGTAAAACAAGCAAAATGAAATGATTATTACTGTTATTTATTGCCAACAAAGTGCAAATAAATATTTATGCAAATTAAGTAATTTCGTATAAATTGAGATCAACAGTTGGCAAAATTTGATAACCGCGAGCTGTGCTGCTACAAAGCCTGTTGTATATTCCCTCCATACGTAGGTGAATCATTCTTGCCGGAAGGCCAAATCAGTGCACGAGAAATATTTATATATAAATATATTTGGCAACTTGTAACCGCTGAAGTGATTTTTGGTCGAACTCCTCCCCCGATTTGTGATGTACGTCCTGATTAATTTTTGCTCTGCCGAAGGGCGGCCGCAATTAAAAACTAACTAATTTTTTGTGTTTAAATTAATTTTCTTTAGGAAGTTGCAATCGAACTCTAGCCTTTCGACCGGCAGTACGCAATGCTTACCACTCGGTTATGACCGCCACCGACAAATATATATAATTTTTTACTTATATATGCTCATAAGTTGTTCACAGAAGTGGTAATAAGCTACGATAGCACAAGGGAACGTTTGATCAAAAAAAAAAAACGGCATAAATAGTAAAAATGGATCTACGGTGTTCTAATTTGGTAGACAGATCTTCTTTGATGACAAATATTCCCATTTCCTTATATAAAAATTAATTTAACAACCACCATACTTTTTAAAGAAAAAAAATAAATATTTTCTTGTATTGTATTACAAAACAAATTTAAGATACGAGCATTTCCTGTATTTTTGATGCTAATGTTTTTCATTTTTTATATCGTTAATCCTTATACTACTTATAAAAGAATCTCAAGAGGTCCAGGTTAATGCAATACATTCACTTTTTTGAGCACGTCTACTGTTGGGAAGTCGGTCTTTTTTAAACATTTTATTAGATGCCTCTCGTACAGTCTTCCAATCATTACTTCAATTTCTCTATGCACAGATGGATGCATTTTGTTCAGGTCATTAAGCTGAATGGACACTTTTGCAGTTGTTTGAGCATAAGATTCAGACTTTGTGCGATAAAAATTATTTTTTCGGCGCTACATAAATCTTGTAAAATATTCCTAAATCTTTTATAAAGCTCTCATACACACTAGATATTTTAAAAACATCTCCAGCTTCACACAAAAAACCCTCGAGCAGTGTTCAAGGATTTGTAGTCCTAGAGCCAGTATTTTTATACCTTTCATATTTGTAAAATAGTTCCTTAACTTTTGCTCGAAATATGCATATATCACAAAAAGAGAATGATTTTTTAGCTGACGCACGTTTCGTGTTTCAGTTTTGTCTATAATTTAACCATGAATCGTCTTACAAACAAACTACACTTGCAAATTATTGAATTTTATTATCAAAATGCGTGCTCTGTTAAGAAAGTTCATCACACGCTTCTTCCGATCAGCGACTAAGTCCACTTTTGGCTTAATGGGTGCGTAAATAAGCAGAATTGTCGGTTTTGGAGTGAAGCTCAGCCAGAAGTCTTGCAAGAGCTACCAATGGATCCAGAAAAGTCACAGTTTTGTGCGGTTTATGGGCTGGTGGCATCTTTGGATCGTACTCAATGAACTTATTGAGAGGAGAGTCGGCGAACATTTCATTTATTAGCTCCTAAAAAATTCCCCTTTATTTTAGTTTAGCCAAATCAGTCAGTCTACATTTGATTTTATTTTTAGGTTGCCTATTTTTCCAAAAAAAAAATTAAAAAAATATAGAAAATTCAAATTTAATGGGTAATTTTTATTATAATTCGTAAAAATATTTTTCGTATTTATTTTTTGAAGATTTTCTCTTCATCCATTGAGTTCAATTTTCGAAGACTCGTTTGAGCATTTTGACAGGTAAGTAGTGCTGTTTTGCTCCAAGGCCTGAATCGAAGCAGGATCATCCGCATAGACTTTAAATTTTATATATCCCCACAGGTAAACGTCTAAAGGTTTGATACCACACGATTTTGATGGCCAATCGAATAGCCCGAGCCGTTAAATTATCTGCTCTCCCAAGTGTTCTCGCAATAAATCCATTGATTGTTGCGATATGAGAAGTGACGCCGTCCTGATGAAACCAAATGTCGCCGAGATCTCGAGCCTCAATTAAATACAATTTCGAATCAAATATTCTGAGCGATAACGATCGCAACTGACGGTTACGCTTTTTTCACCGACCGATATTTGAAGAGACAGTGCATCATTGTTTAGCTTGATCCAACTCAAATATCGCCACTGCTAGTGAAAGTATAGCCGAAGACTCGAGTGTGTATATTTCTCGACGTCTCAAGAGCTAAGATTTTCTTACGGCACAAAATGACTTATTTTGCCATATATCCTTATAGAGTCCAGTTCTCACAGCAGATGAAACCAGCTGACAATTCAAAACGCCGTAGTTTGATTACTTTTTCAGCAACGAGTCTCAATTTTTACTGGGCGGATACCCAAATAAGCGAGATTGTCGCATTAAAAGCACCAATTTCAAATAATTGAAGGGAGGCCATTACACTCTAAAAAATTTGCTGCTTGAAAACGACAATCACTATCAATTCAAAACGTTAT